GGGGGGGGGCGAGCTAACCAAAACCGACGTTCGAGAGAGCTTTTGTTACGGCCGTTGGGCGAAGGGGGATGGGGGGGAGGGTTACGAAGCGAACAACAAGTTTTACGCTTTCGCAACAACTCTGGTTTTGAAATACTATTTTCGGTGTGGACACGTGTTTCTACGTTTTTCGTTCAAATCTCTTCTCAGTTCCACGCACACTTTTTGACGTTCGTCTTAAACGGTTTACGGTCGAATATGCACGACCAAAATTTAAACCGTCCAACCGTCCGTTCTCGAAACTGTTTTTAACAGAACAACAAGAAATGTGATTAAAATTAAAAATGGTTAAATGCACTCGTAAACTTGTACACGGATAAACGAACAATATAGTTCGGGCACAGAAATAAATAGAAACTTAGCCTGGAGTGTTATTATTAGGGCTGTGGATTTAATGCACTAAAGAACCTTAAAAAATACAATAAAATGTGCACTAAAAATGCAAAATATTCAATAAAATATGCACTTAAAATGCCAACAATTATAGTAAAAAATGTATTCAAAATGGTTTTTAATTTAATTTTTATATTTATATTAATATTAGGTATAGGTTAGTTATACATTAGTACATTACATGCATAAATTCAATTTATATTTCATATAAATAATTAATTTATAATTAAATTATATATTCAGTTTCATGCATCAATAAATGTTTATTTAATAAAAAAAAAATAATTTTCTATACTGAATGCTATTCACCTGAAATATTTTTTGCAATTTTTTTTAGTATTTATTTTGTTAATTTTGTTTTTAGGTAACTTATTCATCTTTAATCTTTAGAATTTAATTAAAAATACTATAAAATGAACTAAAAAAAGAAAATATGACCTACAAATGCATAAAAATGACCTAAAAAATTAAAAACGTCAAAAATGCAAAAAAAATGCAAAATAAAAGTTGCGTAAGTGGATTCGTAGTTACATAATTTAAATTATATACTTACAAAGCTACGTTTCACAACCACCAAAAAAAAAATACATTTTCCTACAAATTCACAGCCCTAGTTAATATATTTGTCGAACGCGACTGGTTTCGAATTAAAAATTCATCGTCATGTATGCGTAGTATCAAAAAAATCGCCACTGAATATGAAATAATAATGAAAGGAATATATTAGATAATCATATCATATCAGCTTTTATTAAAATGAATTACCCGACGTTCGGGTTACCTATATGAAGCAGTGTTAATATTCAGACAATTGTTACATAATTTTAAATATGATTAACATATAAATAGTACATACAAATCGCGTAAAACGCGTTAATGTAGAATACGGGGTATTTTTAATTTTAATAATAAAAATAAATAATGATAGAATATAATATAAAGTAATTATATTACTATAAACTACTTATATTATATTATATAAGTAATATATGTTTAATGCGTAATTAAATTAACTTTATGTAAAACGATTAATTATTCTCGATGTATTCCTTCCGTGATATTTTCATGCTCAGTTGTGATTTTTTGACTATTCATATACCTCATGATGAATTTTTAATTCGCGATTGGTCATACATTACAAATATAATAATACTCCAGGCTAAGCTTATTTTTATTTATTTCTATATATAAGCTATTCGTTTATTTATTTACATATCACGATCACTCAGTGAAGTTACTTTTTTCATAAAGTGAACATCCATTTTTATACTTCCAGTTACATGTTATTCTAAGTGACTTGATCGATACTGAAATTATAATTCATATATCTGATCCTGTGTAATACAGGTGTATAACATGCCGGTACACTTCAACACGCGTTTTAATAACAAAAGAAAAAAAAATGAATAATTTTTCATAAATTGGTATTGTTGGTATACATAATTTTTTTTATAATTTTGGCTTTCATGAATCGATATTACCTGGTAAGCATTTCCTTTTTCGAATAATTCATTATTTCCTACGCAGCTATCTACTTCGTTCTCTAGAACCTATACCCATAACCTAACCTATAGATATAGAAGACATACAGAAAATGTATATACCTACTATATAGTAGGTACATTCAAAATCGCCGTAAGTTATCTGAACTCTGCAATGCGTGTATGCTCGAGCGAGTTATTAATATTTTATCATCGATTTCCGTCGTCTGCCTAAGAACTCAACACCGAAATCGTGTTGAACTCAATAATGTATAGGTACACGAACATATAACTATGTATAAATCGCAGTGGCGGTGTAATGCGTGTAAGCCAACTACCGTATACGTTTGTTTGTGTTTGATGGTAAAAACTCATGCGAATCCCTTTTAATGTATATATTTTATAGAATCTCGCTCCATCTCGATGAACGTTGATTTATACGAGCCACACCGTAAATCAATCAAAATTAAGGATAATCATACGATAGTTCACATAAATTATTAATAAACCGCAACAGTTATGAATGTTGTGACGTACTGTATATGTCGAGTCCAATTATTGAAAATGCTGAATTCATGAAGTGAACATCAAGTGAACATCCACTTCATAAAATTTATACGTTTAGTAAAATGTACGGTTTTTAAATATAAAATATCAAATTAATTTTAAAGTAATTTCAAGTAGATCATTTATAACTTGTGAATCGTATGAACTGACTTGTTAGCAGATCAGGTAATTTTTTTAAAAGTTTATCAAATAATTGAAAATTTTTTGTACTGATAGTATGCTTACTGACTGAAATATCATACTACGTTCTACCCAATTGAAGTATATAATTTGTAATTTGTGCGCTGTATAAACTGGGTTTTCGGTCAGTTAATTAATTTTTTGATACAAATATATCAAACAATTTGAAATTATTGTACACATAGTAGGCTATATATGTTCGCTAATGATATTTTGTTGTTTATCAGTTGTTTTTTAATAATTAAATATTAAATAACATGGAAAAATTATTATTTCATAAGAATTTACTAGTACATTCCTATAACCAAACCAAAGAAAAAAACCGTTGAAACAAAGAAAAACACATGATTAAGGATATTGTAGCTGCTATTGACTAAAATGTAAGAATTTAACTAATTAAAAACATTTTCATTTTAAAAATAAAATATAATAAATTGAAATAATTTTTTTTATTTATATTTTATACAGTAAAACTTCTGAATAGAGGACACTCACGGGACCGTCAGAATTGTCCGCTATTCAGCGGTGTCTGCTATTGAGAAAAATGAATAAAAAATTAGTGAAGTGTCCGTTAAGAGAGGTTTCACTGTATATATATATATATTATATAAGAAAATTCGTCGAGAGTAAAATTTACTTTTCACATAAGCCGTTTTTAAAGTTGCGGACCAAAGTTTTTGATTTATAAGCCCATAGAAAACAATGAAATATTAGGTATATTATTTTATAATATTTTTGAAATTCTGAATTCTGATTTTTGATAAATGTGAAAATAATTTATATTTTAATATTTGTAAAATAATATACTCTCACTATTTAGTCTGATAAGTTCACAATTAGTAACTAAGTTAATAATTACATTTATGGAAAAATTGGAATAGTATTTTTAGGCGCAAATGAGTTGTTAATGAGCAGGTTAATTTTAAATATCAAATAATTCACAATTTGGATAAAATTACTTCTATCAACTTCATAAAATGTCTTAACATTTTCCACATAGTATATTTTTATTTTTATTTTTTTTTTATTTTTTTTTTTAATTAATATCGAAAGATTACTGGACCAAATCACTGAGAAAGACTCGTGTAAAGGCCCATGGATTATCTTAGATTACAAATAATTCTTATTGTTTTAAAGTAAATGTTACATTTTTAAAAGACAAATAAGGAGTT